GGCCTGGCTGAAGCAGGGGCCCAAGAGCTTCTTCCAAGTGTTGTACCTGGGCAGCAGGGATCCAAGCCCCTGGGCCATCTTCTGTGGACTGCTCCAGGCTGTTAGCAGACAGCTGGATTCGGAAGTGGAGTAGCCGGGGCTTGAACTGGTGCCTGTGTGGGAAGGTGGTGTTGCAGTGATAGCCTTACTTGCTGCACCCCAGGCTGGGTCCTGCTTCTTTTAGCTCTCACTTGTGGAGGTTGAGGAGCAAGGAGTCCCTCTGGTGAGCACCTTTGGGGTACATTCAAGCTTGCCTGGATGAGAGGAGGAAGTGATCACGAGGCAAGATGGAAAGTCACGGGCCTGCTGTGGTGGCCTAGCAGCTAAAGTCCTCACCTTGAACGTGCCGGGATCCCATACGGGCGCTGGTTCTAATCCCAGCAGCTCCACTTCCCATCCAGCTCCCTGCTTGTGGCCTGGGAGAGCAGTCGAGGACAGCCCCAGGCTTTGGGATCTTGCACCCGCGTGGGAGACCCAGAAGAGGTTCCTGGCTCCTGGCTTCACATCAGTGCAGCACCAGGTGTTGTGGTCGCTTGGAGAATGAATCTTCAGATGGAAGATCTTCCTCTCTGTCTCTCCTCCTCTGTGTATATCTGACTTTGCAATAAAAAAAAAAACAAATAAATCTTAAAAAAAAAAAAAAAGATGGGAAGTCACAGCAAAGGACCAGTCCTTTCTTTTCTTTCTTCTTTTTTAATTGGGGTGGGAGAGAGTGAGTGAATGAGCCCCCATCTGGCTCCCCCCCCCAGACCTAGCTACCCTGCCCTAGGACCCACATTTTTTTTTTTTTAGATTTTTATTAACTGATTGATTTGAAAGGAGGAATTACAGAGAGAGAAAGAGAGAGAGAGAGAGAGAGAGAGAGAGAGAATGTTCCATGCACTAATTCACTCTTTAAATGACCACATCAGCCAGAGCTAGGTGGGTCCAAAGTTAGGAGCTGAGAGCTTCTTGGTCTCTCACATGGGTGCAGGGACCCAAGCACTTTGGCCATCCTTTGTTGCTTTCCCAGGCACATAACAAGGTACTGGATTGGAAGCAGAGCAGCTAGGACTGGGACTGGAGGCCATTTGGTATGCTGGCACAGCAGGTGGAGACTTAAGGCCTTATGCTCTGGTGCTGACTCCAAGAGCTGACTCTTGATCCAGGCTTGGACAGGGGACATGCGTGTCTCAACTGCTGGGCTAAATGCCCACCGGCCTGCCCTTTAGTCTCCAAGCAGCTTGCTCATTCCTACCTCCACTGCTCTAACAAAACCACACTGTCTGACCCACTTACCCTGGTCAAGTCCCAACTGTCCCCAGGTCCCCACCCCTGTGGGTGGCAAACCTTCACACTTCCTCTCTGAAATCCCCTCAGCCAAATCTCTACCGGAGAAATGTGTCCGCAAGGAGACCAGAGGCCCCAGGCGGTGATTTCCAGTTTCAGTCTGACTTGCAGCGGTGCCCACCATGCCCCGCGAAGAGGGCAGGCCATGGGTTACAATGCCCCTCCCCACCCTGGGCACCTGCCTCTCGCTTGGGGGGGGCCCAAGGCCTGTGCTGGAAGAACAGACGCCACATGGCCCGGGGTGAGGAGTGGCTGACCACCAGTCTATGAGGGGTGAAGAGAGACGCAGTCACTCGACACCCGGGGTTATTGCTACACAGCATGAGGGAGAGGCACAGAGGCAGGGCCCGGCGCTCCACCCTGTGCCCCCGTGCAAGTGAGCGCTCACTGTGCTGAGGACGTGGGCCTGTGGGAGACACAGCTCCCAGGAGAGCTGTAAGACTCCTTCCTGCCCTTAGGGCCCCGTGACGTTCCTGCCTGAGCAGGAATCCAGTCTCCAGTTTCAGCAATTTAAAAAAAAAAATTTTTTTTTTTTTTAGTTCACTGCAATTTTTGTTAAAGATCTGTTGAATTGTTTGGAAGGCAGAATTAGAGAGGGATCTTCCATCTATTGGTTCACTTCTTGAATGGTTGCAACGGCTGGGCTGGGCCAACTCCATCTTTGTTCAGGGGCCCAAGCACTTGGGCCATGTTGTGCTGCTTTTCCAACTGCATTAGCAGGGAGTTCAATAGGAAGTGGAGCCAGGACTTGAACCAGTGCTTACATGGGATGCTGACATCAAAGGCAATGGCTTAATCCACTGCACTACGATGTTGGGCTCCTAATGCCATTAGTCTTAACAGGAATGTTTGGTGGTCCGATGTAATGGCTCAACTAGCTAACCTTCTTCATTTAAGCACCAGGATCCCATATGAGTGCTAGTTCATGTATGGGATGCTCCACTTCCCTTCCAGCTCCTTGGGAAAGCAGCAGAGGACAGCTCAAAGCCTTGGAACCCTGCACCCACATGGGAAACTCAAACTCCTGGGTCCTGGATTCAGATTGGCTCAATTCTGGCTGTTGCAGCCACTTGAATAGTGACCAGCAGATGGAGAATCTTTCTCTGTCCTTCTTTCTGCAGATCTGTCTTTCCAATAAGAATAAATCTCTCTCTCTCTCACACACACACACACACACACAGACTGTCTGGGAAGCTGGCACCGGAGCACAGTTCCTAACAGAACCATGGGATGGCTGATCTTTCCCTCTTAGCCTGCCTTTCAATCAATACATATATTTAAAAGTATCTGAGAGGTTTTGAGCCTAAATGGTCGAATCAATATCACCATTAGTGCTGTCAGCACACACTGCACTCTGTTCTAACGGCGATCAAAGCTGTAATGCCTGCTGATTGTGCCTCGGTTGTCAATGCTGGTATAGCACTCAGCTGCCTCAGGAGTGGTGGTGGCCACTGCGCCTGTCCGGTAACTCAGGGGCACACGGTTCAAGTAGTTTCCAAAGCTACTCAGAGAGGTACCCAGGGCCATCCGTCCCCACCCCCTGTAGGACAATGGGTGCTTGTAAACATGCCAGTTGATTGAGCCAACGACCAGCAAGGCCTTCGAAGCTCAAGGTCAGGGTGACCCCAGGCCACTGCTCCCCAGCCCTTCCCCATCTCTTGGTTCACTGCACAGCCAGAAGTGCTGGTGGATGTGCGAGCCTTCAGGTTCCTTCCCAGAAATGACAGGACAGGAAGGTATGTGCCACCATGTGCTCTGTGATCAACTGAGGACTACAAACAGCAGCAGCAATTTCCCCGTTAATTTTTCTTACAGACTCATTTTTTATTGGAAAGGCAGAGAGGAAGATCTTCTGTCTGATGATTCACTCCCCAAGTGACCATAATGGTTGGAGCTGAGCCGATCCAAAGCCAGGAGTCAGGAACTTCTTCCAGGTCTCCCACATGGGTGCAGGGTTCCCAGGGTTTGGGCTGTTCTCAACTACCCTCCCAGGCCACAAGCAGGATGGGAAGTGGAGCTGCCGGGATTAGAGACAGTGCCCATATGGGATCCCGGTGCATTCAAGGCAAAGATTTTAGCTGCTAGGTCACTGTGCTGGGCCCTCCCTGTTAATTCTAAAGCAAGCAATCAAAAGAAGCCTTGGTTAGGGTGTGTGGGTGCGAGGCTCCACTCAGCTCAGGATGGGGGTGCTGGGGACCTAAAGCTCCCTGCAGGAGAGGGAAGTGGCACCCTCAGCCTGGCGTCCAAACCCCAGTAGGAGTGGGCCCCACCCCAGGAGCAGCTAGCTCAAGTCTTAGGCTACCCTGCTTTCAAGCCAGCTTCCTGTTAGACGCGAGGGAAGCAGTGGATGATGGCTCCAGTGCAAGTTTGTATTCCTCCTGCAGGAGACGCAAAGGGAGCTCCTGGTTCCCAGCTTTGGACTGGCCCTGCGCTGGTTTGTAGGACATTTGCGGAGTCACTGGCCAACGGAAACTCTCCCTGTCATTTTGCCTTTGAGATAACTTTTTTAAATAAAGATTTTTATTTGAAAGATTTCACAGACAGATCTTCAATCCGCTGTTTTATTCTCCAAATGCTGCAACAACCAGAGCTGAGCTAATCCAAATCTGGCAGCCAGAGCTCCATCTGGGTCTCTCATGCAGATGCAGGTCCCAAGGACTTCAACAAGATCCTCCTCCGCTCTCCCAGGCCACAAACATGGAACTGGATGCAAAGTGAAGCAGCAGAGACTCGGACAGGCAGCCATACGGATGCTGGCACTATAGGTGATAGAAGCTTAGCATGCACGCTATGGCGTTGGCCCCACTAACTTTAAAACAATTCGCTGCATCCAAAGTAGATAACACAAGAGGAAATCCCTTGGCTGTTTTTTTTTTTTTTGTTCAATTTCTTTCTTTTTTTTTTTTTTTTAAAGATTTATTTTATTGGAAAGGCGGATATACAGAGAGGAGGAGAGACAGAGAGCAAGATCTTCTGTCCGATGATTCATTCCGCAAGTGACCGCAACGGCCGATGCTATGCCGATCCGAAGCCAGGAGCCTCTTCCGGGTCTCCCACGCGGGTGCAGGATCCCAAGGCTTTGGGCCAACCTTGACTGCTTTCTCGGGACACAGGCAGGGAGCTGGATGGGAAGTGGGGCTGCCGGGATTAGAACCAGCACCCATAGGGGATCCCGGGCGTGCAAGGCGAGGATCTTAACCACTGTGCCACTGCGCCGGGCCCTGTTGTTCAATTTCTAATGTCTACCTGGTCGGTCCACGGCGGCTAGTGACGTGTACAGTTGAACCAGTCACCCTGAAGGGAACCTACTGGACAGACCAGTCTCTCTCAGCCCTGGAGCAGCCTGCAGCCCCTTCCCTGCAGCTGTCTGCAAACAGCTGTCCAAAACAGCTCAGTGCTGTCCCCGAACGCTCCTGGTCCACACCAACTTCCTCTCTGTGTCCTGTGGTCTGTCCACATCAGACACAACAGGTCTCTTGTCTGCACTTCCGCCGCACTGTCCTGGGCCGGGGGGCTCTGTGTCTGCAGTGTCAAGCCCCCCACAACCCCTCAGGTTCCCACTGCCCTGACCCACACCTTACAGTTTTCAACTTTTAAAATGAAGCTAGAGGGAGAAAAAAGGACGCAGAGTGAAGAATTCAACGTATGTTTATTATTCACAGTTAATCACTACCTACCAAATGCTACCCGCAAAGTTAAAGGATTAGGTACATAGGTCTTTTTATTTAAACATGGATTTGTTTTTAAATATATACACACAAAACTTAGTTTAGCAAGGCTTCATGATACACACCAATGCCAAAGGAAAACAATCAAATGGTCCAGGTGTGGACGCTGCCAGCCATTCCTGGGGTCAGCAGTACGGCAGGGGAGCAGGGGAGGGGAGAGCATGCTTCCTGGCCAAAGGCAGGGGGAGGCAGGGTGTGTGTGGGCGGGGCAGGGCTGAGTGGGGAGTGGAGGGCGCACCTCCAGGGGCGCAGGCTGAGGCCAGGGACAGTCCACTGATGCCTGACACAGAGTTTCAAGGGATCTAGTGACCCCCAAAGGAAGTGATCCCATTTCTGTCCCTGGGGAAAAGAAAAGAGGCCGCTCCCGCGAGTGTAAGCTACAAGGGAGGAGAAAGGACCCAAGACCGGCAGGGAGATCATCGCCTGGCGGCTGCCTGGGTCTCCAGCCCTCCCAGCCCTTCCCCTCCCCGCTCCCTGTCTCAGGGACTGCTGCAGGGGTGGGGAGGTGTGGAGCAGCTATGAGCACAGCCCGCAGGGAGCGGGACCCGGAACCTCCCTCTGCCCTCGGGTTCCCGGCCCAGGTGAGCACCAGCACCTGAGTTTAGTTACGACCCAGAAACAATGCAAGTCTCTCACTCTCGGGCTAGTGCTGGGCCTGTAAAACCTGGTATCATTCAGGATGGGCCTCACAGCACTTCCTCCACGGCTCTCCTGTGTCTCGGCGTGGAAGTCTGGGGGCGTGGCTCTGGAAATCCTAGAGTCAAGGATTGTGACTCTTGGCTAGATCCAGCAAACCGTGGGAGGACTGCGGCCTAGCTGAGCTAGCTCTGTCTCCCAGAGGCCAGAGCACCCCTGAACTCAGCTCTCAGTGCTGAGCCTGGGTCTTTCAGCTTTGCACAGGCGGGGAAGGCCCATGCGCTCCCCTCCCCGGAAGGAAAAGCATTCCCACTGAGCAAGACACAGCCTGGCCGAGAAGCGCAGGACCACCTTTACCTTGTTGCAAAACACAGCAGATTAAACGCCGCACTCACAGCAACCTGGAAATGGGGGACAGGGCTTGGCGGGGTGGGGGGGACATGCGCAGTGACACCATCTGGGGAGTGGCAGAGTAGAGGCAGGTGCGGTGGCTGTCAGTCCCACTGGCAGGAAGCAGAGGAGGGCGGGTAGCACACACCTTCCTCCCCCCGCTCCTGACACCGGCCTGAGGCGGCAGCCCCCACCCCAACGCCAGCATAGGCTGGACAGAAGGGGCCTCGAGCTGCCCGCCTGTAAACCAAGAACACAGAAGTGGCCATTCATCTGTCAGTTGGTCCACCTGAAGCAGACTTTTTGCATAGAGAAAATACCAGCCCACTTGGTTTCTTTTCTTTTATTATAGGCATCAGCTAGGACTATATGCGGCCTGAAAGGTCATGCACTGAAGGACAGGAGAAAAAAAGACGAAAAAACGATGAGGGGAGAACAGGAGCAGTGGTGAAAATTTGTAATAAAAACTCTTCTTAATAGGTAAGTTTTGGCAATTTTATATCCAACACCCCTCCCTCCCCCCAAAGTTCCAACCCAAGTAAGAGTCACCGTGGCGCCAAGCCGCAGCCAGGGGTCCCGCGCTCCAGCGCAGGCTGCTCACGGGCCAGCAAGTACTTCCTCTGGGCGGTCACTCCGCTGTGTGTTCGCACTTCCTTTAAATAAGCTCTTCTGGATGCTTAGACGTTCCGGTTCACAGGGGTGACGTAATTGCGGGGAAACATGCCGGTCTGCCCGTGGCAAGCCCCCTTCCACCAGTTGGGGTCAGAGTTATCCATGACGTGAATGAAGTCTCCCCGGCGGAACCCCAGCTCCCCGTCCTCCTGGGGGTCAAAGTCAAAGAGGGCCTGGACATATGTTGGCTGCTGCAAAACAGGAGCAGGAAAAAAAAATATGTGGGTGAAGTCCTTGTCCCGGGACAGGTGTCCGTACACCCCACCAAAGCAACTTCGGAGTTGACTCTGAGTGGGCTCAGCGCTCCCAGCACGCTGCCTGCGGTCCTTTGCAGTCCCAGGAGTGGGACCCTCCGAGGTGCTCTCTCTTACGACATCCTGGCTTGAGCCAGACAGTAAGGGGGATGAATGCACGGCTGGGCCACCAGGACAGGAGCATGGGTGTTGGTGCAGACCCACTCCCACCGGGTACTTCCCACACTGGGACACAGCTGGCGAGCAGGTGACACTGTTGAGCAGGTCCCTGCCCAGCACCTGGCTGCAAACGGCAAATCTGGGATGCGAGTTCATCTTGAGTAGTGAGCATGGGTGGCTGGAAGTGGCTTCTAGAAAGCCACCTGCTTCCAACTGCTCACAGGGAGCCCACCTGCTCTCCAAAGCTTACCTGCGGTACCTGCTCTATGTCTCGCAGGAATATCTGCTGGTTTCTGGAAACAGATGTCGATCTGTGGTAGTCTACCAGCTCGTTCAAAGAGTTGAACTTGACCACCCAGAGGAAGTACTTGCCAGCTCCGTCCCGGAGCACCTTGAAGTGCTGCACATCATTCCCAAACCTGGGGGGCAGAGAGCACACGCACCGGTCACAGGGCTCTGTCTAGCCCGCAGGGCTGTCCGCCCAGAGTGTCCGGAGGCCACACAGTGGCTGATGGCCATGAGTGACACCAGCAACCTCCCATGGCTGTGCCCTGACTGTGCCAACCACAACAGCCCCACCGGAGATGAGCAGTGGACCCAACCTAACTGCCCTCCAGCAAGATAACCTCACAGGTGGGAGAGAAAGTGAGAGAGGAGGGAAACACGTTTACTGTGCCTCTGATTACTCAGAATACTTCATTTTCCACTCGGGAAAAGGAAAGGTGTACTGGGACAGAGTCCGAAGCACCAAACTCCCCTCACTTCCCCAGCACCAGTGCAGTCTGGCGGTAGTATGACTGATCCCGGCCCAGGAAAATCGGCACCACACAAGCTCAACGAGGCCTCTGCTGCCCTGGTCTACGGGCTGTCCTTCAAGGTTGATGCTGTGGTGTAGTGCATAAAGCTACCAGCTACAACACTGGCCCTGCTACCCAAGTGCAAGCTCCTGGCTTCAGCTTGGCTCAGTTTTGGGCTACTGCAATCAGCTGGGAACGGAACTAGCGGATAGAAGAACCCTCTCTGTGTAATTCTTTCAAACAAGTAAATCTTACAGGGAAAAAAAGTCCTCCTTTAATAGTTAAGGCTAAAGAAGCTGTCGTTTCTTAAAAACATTCAGCAGGTGGCAGCACTGGGCTTCAAGGAAGCCAGAGTACTGAACTCCCAATGCTGGGAAAGACAACTGAGGGTCCTGGGGTGCCTACCACCTCCCCATTGCCCAGGGTATGTGGGTGTGTGGTGGCGGACCAAGATTCCCAGTGAATGCCTGAGACAGTGGGCAGATACACTGCTTTCTCCTACACTCCTATGATAAGGTTTAGTTAGTAAGGTACAATAAGTAATTAGCAATACAATCTTTAAAAAATTAAAACAAATACACAAAAATAAACGTCACTTATCACTTGAATTGCTTGTTTCTGGAATTTTCCAATCACAGCATCTGCAGCACAGTTACTCATCGGAAGTACAATCGTGGTAAAGAGGTGCCTACTGCACTGTTTTCTCCCACGGGGTGAGAAGGAGATGGCATGTGGTGGAATGTTACAGAGAGCGGCCCATGGAAGAGCCGACTCTGCACTGGCTGCAGGGACCCACACCAGCGGCGCTACACAGCGGCTTCCTCAAGCGCACAGGGCCCCAGGAAGTGCTCTGCTGGCTACGATGCCGCATCACAACAAATCACCTTAGGTACGAGACACGTTTCTGAGGCTGCTGATTCTCAAACCTGCTTTGTGAAACCATCTGTGTTGGTAAAGGCAGTTTCATGCTTTCTGGGTGCTGGTTCAATCCCTGCTGCTCCACTCCACTTCCTACCCAGCTCCCTGCTGATGCACCTGGGAAAGCACTGGAAGATGGCCCAAGTGCTTGGGCCCCTGCCACATACACGGGAGACTTGGAAGAAGTTCTGGGTGCCTGGCTTCAGCCTGGCACCTCCACTGCAGCCATTTGTGGAGTGAACCAGTGGATGGAAAATCTCTCCCCTCTATTTCTCCTTCTTCCTAACTCCACCTTTTACATTTATTTCACCTGCAAGAGTTACAGGCTGGGGGCCCAGAGAAGTGGGCTAGTGGCTAAAGTCCTTGCTTTGCATGCGCCAAGATTGCATACGGGCACCAGTTCTAATCCTGGTAGCTCCCTTTCCCATGCAGCTCCCTGCTTGTAGCCTGGGAAAGCACTCACGTGGGAGACCCAGAAGAAGCTCCAGGCTCCCGGCTTCAGACTGGTTCAGCTCTAGCAGTTGTGGCCGTCTGGGGAGTGAATCATCAAATGGAAGACTGTCCTCTCTGTTTCTCCTCCTTTCTGTATATATGTCTTTCCAATAAAAATAAAATAAATCTTTAAAAAAAAAAGTTACAGGCAGAGATCTTTCATTTGCTGTTTCACTCCTTAAATGCCCATTATAACCAGGGTTTGGTCGATCCAAAGCTGGGAGCCAGGAGATTCTTCCTGGTCATCCCTTATAGGATGCTGGTGCCACAGATGAAGGATTAGCTTGCTATGCATTTGCACCTGTCCTAACAAATACATTTTACAAAAGACTGCTCCGGTGGTCCTGGCCACCTGGTGATGAACCGCCCATACTCCTCGTCCCAAGCTGCTTGCTTCAAACACACACGGGAAGAGATGGACGCACGCTAACAGGAAGCATAGAGACACACTCCCACACCTGTGTCAGAGCGCCCAGCTTGAGTCCCAGTGCTGCTCCTAGAGTCCAGCTTCCTGCTAACATAGATCCTGGGATGCAGTGGAAGAAGGACAGCTTAATTACTCGAGTCCCAGTCACCTGTGTGGGAGATCTAGATGGAACTGGGGTCCTGGCTTCAGCCTGGACTAGCACTGCCTGTTGCATGTCCTGGGAGAGTGAATCAGCAGGAAGATCTGTTTCTCCTTCAAATAAAATAACTTATTTTTATTGGAAAGTCATATCTACAGAGTTTGGGGGGGGAGGGGAAGAAGAGAGAGTTATCTCCCATCAGCTGGTTCACTCCTAAGTAGCTGCAACAGCCAGAGCTGAGCTGATCTGAAGCTAGGAGCCAGGAGCCAGAAGACTCTTCCAGGTCTCCCACATGGGTGCAGGGTCCCAAGACTTTGGGCTTATCTCTACTGCTTTCCCAGACCATAAGCAGGGAGCTGAATGGGATGTAGAACAGCCAGGAAATGAACCAGCGCCTGTTCAGGATTCTGGCAGTTGCAAGGCAAGGATTTAGCCATGAGGCTATCACGCTGAGCCCATGAAATCACTTTTACAGTCTTATGCTTTATATTATTTGTAAATTCTAACCCTCACTTTAAAAAGTATTTTGTATGCAACCCATAACCTTAATGCATTTACTCTAATCACCAGCATCTCAGTATGCATAAATACAGAAGTGATTGGTAAGATGCCTCAGGAGAGTTCTGTATGGTAATGTATTAACCAGAAACCAGAATAGGGCTGAACACAAACAAAACAAAAAACAAACAAAAGCAAAAGAACAGTAAGATTCCCCCCCCCCCCAAAAAAAAACCACAGGGAAATGTAATTCAAAGCCCTATTTCACAGATTCTAGTTCTAAATGACTTTCCCTGCACCCCCAATCTCTCCTGGCAGCCTCCTCTAGAAGGCGAGAGGCAGACGCTGGGGTTGGTATCTGAACGGGTGCTCCAGGGATGGAGGCTGTGCGAAGCTGGCTGGGCAGCCCAACTGCAGACAGGACACCCGGAAACACTCACTTGACGGAGAGGGAGAAATCGCCCGGAGCACTCTCGCTCTCCCGGATGAGGAAGGCCCCGTCGTGCCGCTGCTTGCTGAGCATCTCTTCTGCCTTGGCTCTGGGTATTTTACCAAAAAACCACCTAGGAAAGGAAGACAAGGCAGATAACACCTGCCTCTCAGAACAGAGGGAGTACAGCACCCTTTACCAGAGGAGGGGCTCCCCAACACAAGGCCCTTCCCTTCACTCCACCCCCAGATAGGACCCATCAGGCACTCTCGTGGGCCCTTCATTCTTGGATACAAACACTCACAAGCTGGCTTCCTAGGCCAGAGGACCTGAGTTAGTATGGAATACACAGGGGGACAAAGTCTCCGTGCTATAGCAGGACTAGCAACGAGGGGCAGATGCCAGGGAGGTCCATGGGCTGGAGGCAAAGTCATTGCTGCTAAGAGCCCAAGGGGCACAGACTCGGGCTGTGGGAGCTGTGTCGTGCAGGGCCTTGGCGGGAGCAGACTCGGGCTGTGGGAGCTGTGTCGTGCAGGGCCTTGGCGGGAGCAGACGCGTGCTGTGGGAGCTGTGTCGTGCAGGGCCTTGGCGGGAGCAGACTCGGGCTGTGGGAGCTGTGCCATGCAGGGCCTTGGTGGCCACTACTCAATCCAGCTCCAGGATACCATAATTCACCACATTTGTAGCAGCTGCACCTGTGAGACTTCTCTGCTACACTGTCACCACCAGGAGAGTGGCTGAATTTACAAGATGGGGAACAACTGGCTGGAGCTTACCAGGAGGAGGCGAAGCGCTTAAAGTCACAGCCACTTAAAGCTACGGCAGGTGAAAACTATTAGTAATTATGCCAAGACACTAAAAAAGCTCTTCTCCAAACTGGCTTTCATTTTTTTGTGTTGCTTAAGTAGCATTTACTTAAACTACAGTGTCAAGGGTACCAAGCACTCCAGAGTTATAAATTACGGCATGTCTATCTTCTAAGCAACCAGGGTGCTCTTAGTGTACCAGACAGAAACGTGCCAACTGCCAGGAAGGCCAGGCTCGGAAATGGCCTGCAGGGACCTCCGAGTACTGATCTTGAACTCAGTTACTTGTGTCCTTTGTGGCTGACATGCCAGCGCAGGCTGTGGGGGAGCTGCAAGGGAGGTACGGAAGTCCTCTTGCTCTAGTGCTAACTGCAGGGCACGCCTTGGTGCCTGGAAACCTGGTTGGCCAAGAGCAATGCCCACTTAGCAGGGTAGATGGATCTGGGAGCTATAAGCACAGGGGCCGCGAGCAAGAGGGCCTTGCAGCTTCCGGCAGGAGCCTTCCGCGCTTCCGCTGCATGTGAGGGCAGCAGGCGCCCACATAACGGCCTTCCCCGCAGACCCTCAGTCACCAGCTCTTTCCTCCCACACCCTCAAGATCTCCCCACAGGAATCCCCCTTTCTCTTACATTTCCAAAGGAAGAAAGTGATGGTTACAGATCAAAAGGGCCCAGAGGCAATGCTGCCCTGGTGGTCAGGGCATAGCCTGTGTTCGAGTGGCTGCACTGGGTCCTGGCTCCACTCCCCCGCCCAGCTTCCTGCTGACTGTGCACCCCAGGGGACAGCAGGTGACCCTGTTAGCTGCTGATTTCTACTCTGGCCCATTTTACTCAAATTAATGGACGAATTAAAAAATCTGACAGCTTCCAGAGGTGGCTGCTGGTAGTAGTTACATACAGCTGTTTTTAGATTTTTCCTTGTGGGACACACACACACTAACACACACACACTAACACACACAGTTGTCATGTTTTCTTGTCCCTGGCCACTTACTGAAATTTTATAAAATAAAATATGCCAGACTCAGGTCAATCAATAAAAAAAAGTTAATACAGGAATGACTTTATGCATGTTAAATATCAGCATGCTACAATTCTATATTTTCATAGCATTTTTATTGCTTACAAAAGCTGATTTTCGGGCCCAGCGTGGTGACACAGTGGTTAAGGTCCTCGCCTTGCACGCCTGGGATCCCATATGGGCACCGGTTCTATCCCGGCAGCCCCACTTCCCTTCCAGCTCCCTGCCTGTGGCCTGGGAAAGCAGTCGAGGACGGCCCAAAGCTTTGGGACCCTGCACCCGCGTGGGAGACCCGAAAGAGGCTCCTGGCTTGGACCGGCACAGCACCGGCCTTTGCACTCACTTGGGGAGTGAATCATTGGATGGAAGATCTTCCTCTCTGTCTCTCCTCTCTGTATATCCGCCTTTCCAATAAAAATAAAAAGAAAAAAAAAGCTGATTTTCTAATATGGTTTTGTTTATCAGTTACGGACTGTAGCAACAGCCACATGTTTTGAAAAACCTTAGGATGCATGTTTAAGGAACAGCTGCTGTGTTGCAGTGGGTTAAGCCACTGCTAGCATCCAGTGTCTGAAGGCAAGGACGAGCTCCAGCTGCTCCACTTCCAATTCAGCTTCCTGCTGATGTGCCTAGGGAGAGACCGGAAGATGGTCCCAAACTCGTGGGTTCCTCCCATTCACGTAGAATAACAGGACGGGAGTTTCCGCCTTGTGGTTTAGCCTGGCCTAGCCTTGGCAAGTGAACAGCAGACAGAAGATCCCTCTCTCCCTATTGTTCTGCCTTTCATGTAATTTTGTGAATCTTAAAAAAAAGACTGGCATTGTGATGTAGTGCGTTAAGCTACTGCCATGCGATGCCAAATTTCCATGAGCTCTGCTTGGGTCCCGGCTGCTCCACTATAACCCAGCTCTCTGCTGAGGTGCCCAGGAAAGCAGCAGGTGATGTTTTAAGTATGTGGGCTCCTGTCACTCATATGGGTAACCTGGGAGATCCTTCTCCCTCTCGAACTTGGCCTTCACTAAAAAATAGGCCTTTAACAGGTTCTGCAAAAATCATGCTTCAATGCTATAAACTGCTAAATACTAAAATTAAAATAGACATGAGACAGCTGAATAGTAATCTATAGCCACTTTAAGGTGTATAGAACCCACTTGTATATAAACTAATAATTGTAATGTCAATGTAGAAGTCATAGGATGTGGTTCAGAACTTGCACTCTTTTTTTCTCTCTCTCTTTTAACATGCTGGTTACACAATACCATGTCAACTAATTCCATTACGTTATAAATTGCTACTGATGTAATGTCGGGGCTCTTAATTGATTGGGATGATACTGTCAGCTCTACCTTAAGACCAGAGACGGTCTCTCCAAGAAACCGTTGAACTTATCTGGACAATAAGATGCTGGACTCAATGCTTTGTAGATGCTTGCAAGGAAAGAATCTCAACTGAATTTGAACTGTGGTAATGCAAAAAGGTGGAGGAATCCACCATGGGGGGGGGGCGGGTTTTGGGGAGGAGAGGGGGGAATCCCAGTGCCTATAAAACTGTGTCACATAATGCAATGTAATCAATTAAAAAAAAAAAAAAGATTTGGAAAAAAAAAGGCCTTTAAAAAGACAGGTGCATTTACTCTACAAGGGCAAGCCCAAGGACCAGAGCTGAAGGGCTTATTTCCAAATTGTTTCATATTCCACATGCACCTAATTTAAGCACCTAAGGGGCTCCGTCCTCAGCACTGACACCTCGTCCTGCACCAACCCCCACTGCATGGTCAGCTTCATCTGCTAACTCCAACGCTGGACGCAGTGAGGCTGTGCTGGTGTTTTAAACCTTTTTCTTCGTCCCAAACTAAAAGGCAGCTTTGAAGGGAGGGACGATGACTGTCACTCTGCTGTACCTTAGCTCTGAAAACACCATGAACCCTTACCTGCAAATGCCAGAACTCCTGCGGGGAGCTCAGGCCCCATGGGCCACAGCACCACTCTCACACACAGAGCGGCCTTCACAACATGGCACTCTCCTATCTGTTCCAAGTGCCTGTGAGACCAGACACAACCTGAAGGACAAGAAAGGCCTTAGGGCCACAGGCCACAGTTCATTTACCATAAAAACTGCAGCAGCATCTGCTCTACTCTCTTTCAGTCTGAAAATACAAAACGAAAAGGAATTCAGGTTGGTTTTTGCTGTTGATGGGCCTAGTGCACAGTCAGCAGACTGCAATCTCAGCGGAACATCACCCTGCTTTTGTGTGGCCCACGATCCCTGACGTAGTCACTACCTGACTCCTTCCATCCAGAGGTGATCCTGAGGACGGACTGAATGAAGCCAGGGGCACGTGTTGTCTGCCTATACAGCAGGGGCTGTTAGGTGGCCCCTCAGGCCTTCCCATTCTTGGTAACCCTTGTCCAACTTGAGCAGAACGTGGTCCCAGATCATCTGGGAGGCCCTACACCTGCTACCCCAAAGCAAACTGCCCTCGCTGGCTGAAGAATACAGAGCTGCATCTAGGCACAGGAAACTAGAAGAAACCCTGCTCGGCTGCATGTTAACTGATCTTGCTTGGGAATTGTTCACCCAAGGATGTCTAGGATGCTTGTGTACGTGTTTCTGAAAACTTGGATATTTAACGAAGAACCAGGACAGTGCAAATTTCAAACACAAAAGACAAAAGTACACTGGCTGACAAAAGTACACAAAAGACAAAAGACAAAAGCAAACTCAACTGGCTTCCTCCTTGCAAACCATCCAATGGAACATTTACTGAGCCACGGCAAATGGCTGGCTCTGCATTCGCCCCTGCAAGCACAGGCTAGCCTTGCCTCCACCTCCAGGCATGTGCACGTGGGAGCCAGGTGGGACAGGACATGACTGCCACCACGGTTCCTTGCCCAGGAGCACTCTGAGAATGCACTAACTGACCAAGGCCTGAGCCCATCAGTCCCTGGGGAGGCTCCTGAGCCTGTCTATCACAGAAGCCCTCTGCTGACAAGAGGTTTGGGGTGTGCCCCCCATTTCACTGTGAGTGGCCATTACCTCGGTCAGGGCTATGTGTGTAGGGACCAACTCCTATACTGCCCTCCAGTCCTCTTACTGCGGCTTTTTGTAACAAGACCTACTTACTTACTGGCTTGAAAGTCAAACAGCAGAGACTTTCCAGGTGTGCTGGACAAAGATGAACCTACCGGTAGCAAACACCTACCTAATACTGACTTAGTCACATGGGGAGGACAGAGAGGGGGCTCTGGGCAGTATAAGGCGTGGGTAAAAGTTGTGCTTCAGGCTGTGGGGAGAACGAGAGGAACACACTGAAGCAGTGTGAGTCACACTGAAGCTGAGGGGTCACAGAACCACAGCTCCAAGTGGGGGCGATGAGAACCCTGGTTCCCCGGATACGCCACAAGGTCGCAGACAACCGCTTCTGAGGGAGCAGCAGGGCCAGAGGAAGAGGAATGGGTGAGATGGGAGGGCAGTGGTCTGTAGAGGTCTCCAGGTTTCATTATGTCCCATAGTGATATAAATCAGATGGGGTTCTAAAGAAAATTAACAACAGCAGCAAAAATACATACATACACACACAGAAGGAAAAGAAAATGAGCAATGCTCACTGCTCTTGCAGCCTGGAAGACAGCATATTTCCTTCTCCGGGGAGTGGGAGCAGTAAGAGGAAGAGTGGCTAGCTATGACACTGCTCCATGCCTGTGCTGTGCCCTGGAGTATCAACACAGAGCTCACCAGGACACTGTGTTACTGCTGAAGATCCCTGGCCAAACGAAGTAAGGTATTATCACAGCACTATTTCACATGTATACTAACACACAATCAATATGCTCGAATTCCTTGGAAAGACAGAATGAAAAGTATGACATCTGTCCTAGTGATCTCAGTTTTAAAAACAGCAGTTGCAACAAGCAGGCGGGTCCCAACTTACGGATGTGGTTTCATCTCTATGTAGTTCTTGGGAATGAAGCCGTCTTTCCCATTGAGCTCCGCCTTGTACCAGTTCTGATCACATTCTTCATTCAAAACCTGATAGGAAGTAAGACAAGAAAAATAAATCCACCATTTTCTTTTCCTTGTTCAAGAGAAGCACAAGCCAGTCTCAGGTTAGCCATGTGGATGTGAGGTGCCGTGCAACTGCAACCAACCAGCATCATGCTAAATCCTGTTACAATGAAAAAAGAAAGGTCTCTGGAAATAGGAAGTTCAAACGTGTATACTTAAAACACCCAGGAGGAAGGCAGGATGAATGACAGGGAAAATACTGACTACAGATTTCTGGATTCCAGAAAACAGCATACACTAACAAGGAAGGAGGTGGTCAGGGTGGGCAGGGCTGGCGGAGGCAGAACGAGCGCGGTCTGGGAGAGCAGGAAGGGACAGGGACATTTTCAGCCCTTTTGGCACCTTGGCCTACCTCCAGAGTCCAACCCTGAGACTCCTTGCCAGCTTCCCCAGGTTATCACAAGCACAGGTCACCCACACGGTGACCACTTGTGGCCACGGTGCGGCCACTTGTGAGCACAATCACATGATCTCACTTGGGAAGACAGAGTCCTCCTCACTTCAGTCACCTCCAGGGCCACGCCACGCTCAGACCAACAGTGCTGGAAACGGAGTAGCCATCACCTCTGCAGGAAGACCTGGGGACCATCTGACTGAGCCAGCGCATTCTACCTGTGTGAAATCTAGAAAAATAGAATGGCAACCCAAAGTCAGGAGCGGGAGGCCTCATCCAGCAGAGAATCACTTGTGGATCTGCAAATTCCCAGAGTTTGTTCCAACACTGCCTCCTGTGACATCCACAGACAGGCCCTGAGCCAACACTGGGGACAGCAGAGTACTGTCAGCAGTGGCAGAACAAAGCCAGGCGTCGTCTAGGTGTTGCCCTGAGGACTCTAGACTTAAAACAAAAGGCAGAAGGCATCAATTGCACGTCAATGAGAAAACAGAGAAATGAGCATGATTCCAAAATGGTGAGCAGATTGATTATATTCAAAGGACCCCACACACTTGGACCACCTTCTGCTGCTCTCCCAGGTGCAGTAGCAGGGATCTGGATCAGAAGCAGCCAGGATAGGAAGCAATGCCCATATGGGATGCCAACACTGGTCCTGATAAAGAATTATCCAATTATATCAAGATGGTGATGGGGCTGGCACTGTGGTGGGTGGGTTAGGGCACTGGCTGCAGAGCCGACATTTCCTATGTTCCAGTCCTGGCTACTCTGCTTCTGGTGCAGCTCCCTGCCAATGTCCTTGAGAAGGCAGCGGAGGATGGTCCAAGGTCCTTGGGCTCCTGCATCCACCTGAGAGATCTGGAAGAAGCTTCTGGCTCCTGGTTTCAGCCTGACTGCAGCCATCTTGGGGATTGAACCAGTGAGTACAATACCTCTCTGTCCCTCTTTGTAACTAACTCTTCCTTTCAAGTAAATAAAACAAACAAAACAAAAAAAGGGGGGGGGGGGAAGATGCTGACCGATCCCGCACTTAAATTAGAACCTGGATTGTGCCTAAAGTTTAAGACCCCTGGGTAATGACATTTCAAAGTCAGATACATCGTGACAAAAAGGAGGTAAATGACAGGTAACCCAGTCAGCCAGAGTGTGTGGATGTTGCCTCTGGATCGGTTCACGACTCAACAGAGGCTCCAAGTGCACATGTGTGCAGCCTAACTATGGTGGGAAACCCTGTAAGAACTAACAGATGTGAGCAGTAAGCTCAAAGAACTAGAACCTGGTGAACCCCAGTAGCCCAGTGTTCAAAAGTCCCATACATCCTGATGGGCAGCAATGAAAACTGACCCTATAATTTTATTAAAGACAGCAACGAGACAAAATAACCTATGCAGTATATATAATAATCATTCTGCTGATAGACAAGTGTAACAGGGAGGCCTGAAAGGGCTTTTGCTTTTCCTAAATTAATTTTAAAAAATCATTTGGGGGCTTGGCACAGTAGCCTAGTGGATAAAGTCCTCGCCTTCCATGCGCCAGGATCCCATGTGGGCACCAGATCTGATCCCGGTGGCCCCTCTTCCCATCCAGCTCCCTGTCTGTGCCCGGGAAAGCAGCAGAGGATGTCCCAAATCCTTGGGACCCTGTACCCACATGGGAGACCTGGAAGAGCTCCAGGTTTTGGATCTGCTCAGCTCCTTCCAGTGTGTCTATTTGGAGTGTGAACCAGCAGATTGAAGATATTTCTGTGTTTCCTTCTATCTGCAAATATTTCCAAAAAGATTTATTTATTTTCACTGGAAAGCCAGATATACAGAGAAGAGGAGAGACAGAGAGGAACATCTTCCATGTAATGGTTCACTCCCCAAGTGGCCACAAAGGCCGGTGCTGCACCGATCCGAAGCCAGGAGCCAGGAACTTCTTTCTAGGTCTCCCACGCGGGTGCCGGGTCCTAAGGATTTGGGCCGTCCTCGACTGCTTTCCCAGGCCACAAGCAGGGAGCTGGATGGGAAGTAGAGCTGCCAGGATTAGAACTGGCGCCCATATGGGATATCAAGGTGAGGGCTTGAGCCGCTAGGCCACAACACCGGGTCTCTCTCTGTATATCTAACTTTGTAATAAAAATAAATAAACCTTTAAAAAAAAAAAAAGACCAGGATTCTACTATCTATCTAAAATAGAAGCACCTTTTCCCCTTAATAATAAAACTGTAAGCTTAAAACACATTTATTTATTTGAAAGGCAGAGAGAGCTAAGACACAGAGATCTCCCATCCGCTGGCTTAGCCCCCAGCAGATGAGACAGGGCGAGGCAGAAGCCAGGAGCCTCCCACAAGGATGACAGTATCCCAAGTGCTTGAGTCATCACCAGCTGCCTTCCAGGGTGCCCCTCAGCAGGAAGCTGGAATTGGGAATGTAGAGGCTGGCCTTGATCCTAGGCACTCTGCTGTGGAATGCAGGAATCCCAAGCAGCAACTGAGACCAGCACGCCAATAGTGCCGCAGAAACAAGCAACTGTGCCACATGCCAGTTCATGGAACCGCCATTCCTGCCCCCCATAACATACATCCCCTTGAGAGTGCTGTGCTTTCGCCCAGTGCATGAAATTCTAGGACAACTCCCAGATTAGGTACCAATTTAGAACTATGGTTTTCTGCAGAACAAAATAGTGTTTGATGTTTTTCTGCTGTAGGAGGAAGGGAAATACAGAATTACAGACACAAGAGCCAAGAACATGAATTGGTTATTTGGAAAATATCCAGAACATCACTTCCACAGAGTGTCCCTTATTGCTCGGCCTCTCACTAAACCTCTAGACTTTAAGGAAAGACTAGTGCTGCTGGGCTCACAACACCAGACAGAGTGTACCTGCTAATGCTGGACAGTGATGGAAACAGGGTCCTTCAAGCTGACTGTGGGGTTCAATCCCCCCACACTGCTGCCCTGCTCCTCCTTTCACATGGGACCCCTGAAGCAGGCAGTAGAGGGAATCTAAAAGACATTTAGAAATCAAGTTCTATTCAAACGTCTAAATATACAAGACAGCAATGAACAAGGTCCCAGAGGAACATGTCCTAAAGCAGGACAGGGAAGGGACTGGAAGCCCTTGGGGACAGATTTGCACCTACAAGACTAAGTTCTAACTTGCCATGGTTCAACAGGAGAGCTCACAACAGTCACAAATGCTCCCAGTTCTGAGCCCGGGGGAGCTCCTCCCATCACCACTTCCCCAGCATGACCATGCCTCTTGCTACTGGTTCACAACTGTTCCACAAACAGCAAAGAGCTTCCCCAACCACTGCCACTTGGCTCTCAAAATTCCCAGAAAAGTTTCTACCTCTCACCCACAGCTCCACGTTTCAAACTCTGTAGCCACAAAGAGCACTGTGGTTTAACGGAAGCAGATTGATCAAGAGGTGAGATTACCAAAGGAGGAAGAGATGAGTTTCAGTGAAGTTTCGAACTATTCGCTAATTTGTTGTTGCAGAGACTGTCCAAATCGGGAAGCAACTTAGATGAGAAACGACAGAGCTTTACACACCGTTAGAAATGGACAGAGGCAAAGAACGGGGCCAGGCATGGGGTGATGCCCTTGGCTGCTACCCCCAGGCATGGGGTGACGCCCTTGGCCGCTACCCCGGATACCTGCAGCCCCTCCAAGAGCCTGTCCACACCCTGGGAGGCAACAGCTCACTGCTCAAAGACTCAGGCCTGCGCCACCCACGTGGAAGACCTGAACTGAGTTTTAGGCTCCCAGTCTGAATAAGTAAAACTGTATTAAAAGGGCCTGGCGTGGTGGCTTAGTGGCTAAAGTCCTCGCCTTGAATGCCACGGGATCCCATATGGACACCAGTTCATGCCCTGCCTGCTCCATTTACCATCCAGCTCCCTGTTTGTGGCCTGGGAAAACAGTCAAGGACAGATGGCCCAAAGCTTTGGGACCCTGCGTCTGCGTGGGAGACCTGGAAGGAGGCTTCTGGCTCCTGGCTTCAGATAGGTGCAACTCTGGCCATCATGGTCACTTCAGGAGTGACTCATCGGCCAGAAGATCTTCCTCTCTGTCTCTCCTCTTCTCTGTGTATCTGACTTTACAATAATAAAATCTTAAAACAAACAAACAAAAAAAAACTTGTGTTTAAAAATCTGAAAAGTAGGGTGTCAGGGGTGGGGTAGGAAGCAGACAGAGATAAAAAGGACATGTATCTGCTGGTTCACTCCCAGACCCCCAACAGCCTGCAAGCAACAGGAAGCTGCAACAGAGCAGAGCCAGAACTTGAACCCAGTCATACCGATGTGACAGGAAGGGTGTCCCAAATGCCATCTTAACCACTGCAGCAAATGCTCGTCTCTATATTATGTGACTTTGGTAACATTTTCTTTCACGCCAGTATCACCTCAATGCTTTATGAACAGTGAGGAAGATAAGCAATGGAAGCTCTGGGTTCACTCAGGTTCACCATAATGAACAGGAATGGCCTTACACTGCCCCTCTCTAAATTCTGCTTTCCTGACCTATGAAGGGGGGCGGTAATTTACTCGGGGATACTGAGGAAATTAGCTGACAAAAGTGACCA